CTTATGTCTTTTTTATACAGTTGATAAAAGAACTTCTTCTCTGATAGGTTATGATCTTTACATCGTTGTTTATTTAGCACTGTTTCTGTCATTATTTGATTAGTTATACCACAATGCTACGCAGCAACACTGATTCTATATTTATTATTTATTTATTTATTTTTTATTTATTCAAATTTCTGCCAAGCACAAAACAACAAACAAACTTACAAAAAAAAAACATGGCAGGGAAAGATCAAACAGGTGCTAAACACCTATGCAGGTTGGTTAACCCAAAACAGTACAGAAACAGAACAACCACTCTCTACAAAAGGAACATCGACAAGAGAGTGACCAACTACAAACATTTTCAACATTAACATTATTTAAGAAATAGTTATTAAAATAGTTTAAAAGTTTAGTTTTAAACAAACTAACAAATAAATTAAAATTGCAAATTTCACAGGGTAAAATGTTCCACATTCTGGTAGAACGAGGGATAAAGGATTAAAATGAGAATTCAGTCCTGCAGCGACGAATATCCAAAAGTGTACCAACAGAAGATCCATGGGTAACACGGCGTGGGTAATGAATATTGAATAGATTATCTGAATTGTGGTGGAATTAAATAACTTAAAAAGTAATAAAATATCAGCACATTGTCGCCTATAACACAATGGAAGTAAATTACAAGTCTGAAGTCTACATTTGTAATCTAAATCAATATTATTTAAAATAAATTTAGTTCCTCTTCCCTGGACTCCTTCAAGTGATACTTATATTTATATGTTACTTCATTATAATATAGGTATGACTTCTAGAATATTCTTAGGCTAGTGTCCTGGTTGGGTTGTATCTGCGATATACCAAGGGGCACCTAGTGGTAAACATGTATGGCACTCACCTTGACAACAAGAAATCACATTTTAATTCCCGCCGCAGCGCCACGGGCACTTTTTCAAACAGAAAGAACTATTTTTTTATTTGAGAGGCTATTTCCGATACGATACTCCCATCACTTTTCATTTATTCGAGCTCTGTTTTCACCATTATTTAAATATATAAACAGAGTGCTACACACAAAAAATAATTACATATATACACACACACACACATATATATATATATATATATATATAT